CTAGAAGGAGATGTGATAGAGACTTGAAATTTTCAGAGTATCTTTAGGTTCACTCCTAGAGAACGAAACGCCTACGGCAAATCCTGGCAACCACCCCTAAAGGGCTAAAAGAGGGTATCAGAGAAAATAAGGTAGGTCAAAAAAGTCAGAAAAAAAAATATTTTTTTTAATGATCTCCTAAGGGGTAACTCATCGAAGTAGAGCCCTATGGGTAACTTGCAAAAGTAGAGCCCTTGGGGCGAAAATTTCGTACGTTTGGCTCTATCTTTAACCGTTTAGGCGCTAGAGGGTCTTGTTTGACGAAAATAAGTTAAAAATTGCTGTAGTGAACAATTAAATGTAAAAGAAGGCCTTAAACTGCAAAAGAGGTAAGAAACTCCCTCCCCCCACCCCAAAAAACGTTTCCTTAGCAGAAAGGTGGGTTTTAGTCGCGGTGTTTCACCGTTACATCCCTTTCTTGTGTCTACGGGGCAAATTTTAGGGACGACGGGCTTTGCGGGCCGAAGGCCTGTTACATCATTTGATTATGTTCTACAGCAAATCGCGTGACAGAAATGGTCGGGCCGCAGGCCCGACCATCGCCGCCGGCAGGCCAAGCAGGCCCGGCCCCTGCCGAACGGAGTTGCCGGCGCAGCGAAGCGAAGCTGGCAACTTCGTTTGGCGAAAGGGCGGGCCTGCTTGTTCTTCTTTCTTGTGATGTGCACTCTGCTTGTTACTCATACATGTTCATTTTGTTTCAGACTGAACCACACCGAGTATGGCCCCCACAAGCGGGGGCGTGGCGGGTATGGCGGTGGGCGTGGCGCGGCGGCCAAGGCATGGCCTGCTGATTGATGTCCTTTTTTTCATTTTTTAAGTTAAAGTCCAGTATGGATTTTTAAGTCATTTATTTTTAAAGCAGTATGACTGTTAGGGCGAAAGTCCGAATTCTTCAGTTTAAGCGGCGAATGTCCAAAATTACAATTGTATTTAATTTAAACGGACATTCGCCAGTAGTTTTCGCGTTTATCTTGGTTCATCTTTTGAACGAATGTAATTTTGAATCTTGCTGGATGGAGGTGCAACCGTCGGTTGGCTCTTGGCTTCAGTGCATAGACTAGGCAGCCTATTTCGGTATTGCTGTTGTTTCTCACCTTTCTTTTCCTAGTCTTAGTACTGTGTTATGCTTTTCGCGAGGCTTTTCGCAACATAATCGTGTATTTTTGTGGCCAAACCTCCCTATACTCCAACGGCTAACCTATCTTTCGGATGTCGTGCTCTCTTATGCATATGTTCAAATTAAGAAAGTGTTTATGGTAAATCTTATATTTTGATCAACAAAAGTTTGTCTCAATCCTGTTCACGATTTGATTTACGAGGGCCAATCTTATGAATCTGAAATTTTCAATTCTTGAACTCAAGTTCTCTTCCACCTCATTTATAAATTCCAGAACGTTTGGTTTTTCTGCACGCAAGGAGAGTGAAACTCTAGATGAGATGAAGAGGAGGAGGGAGAATCGTGCCGTGAAAAAAGGAAAGCTTTCATGCAGAGAACCCACACAAATCTGCCTTGGAACAGCGTGAAATGATGAAAGGGCTGCAATCATCTGGAAAACCCAGTCAACAAAGCAGCTACCATTTACTTTCGGGAGGCATTGGGGATGATCCTATGGGAATCCTTCACAAGTACTACTGGGACGTCCCGAAAGTACATGCCACGGAGTTCTTCAGGATGTGCTTGGCAGCATGTCCTAATTCACATCCCGGATAGGATCTAATTGGGAGGCACTTGTGATTGGATGTACTGAGAAGTTACTCCTCAGGACATACCAACAGTGGAGCTCCGAAGGGATGTCCCACCGAGGTGCTACTTAGCATGTCCCCAGACAGAACATACCATCCCAGTACCTCCTTAGGTGGACCTGCTCATCTGCTGCTAGGGATGTCCCACCGAGGTGCTACTTAGTACGTTCCCAGACAGGACATACCATCCAAGTACCTCCTTAGGTGGACCTGCCAATGTGCTGCTAGGGGCGCAACAGTGGGGTTCTACCCAGCATGTTTTAGTAAAGACATCACACGTGGGAGCTACCACAGAATGTCCCGACGATACTGCCCCGAAGGGCATCCTTTAAAGGTTCTGCTTAGTATGTTCTCGAGCGAATAGAATTTTATGTAGCTACCAATTTCTGACGGCTTATTTAAGCAAAAGTGGTAATTGGGTGTATTGTTTTGCTAAATGAGAACAAAAGTTCACACTGGAGTGTAGCTGTGTAAGTTAGGATGTTTTTAAAATTTAAATAGGATAAAAGTTGGAAGGGGAGTGGGAAACGAACTAAATAAACAGAATATAATTTCAAAAAATGCAAAATAAAAGGTTAGTAGCAGTATTATAATTTGCGCCTACGCCAAGTCGGCGCGACCTCATCGCAACCCAGTAACGTCCTGGGGAGGTCCCTAGGTGGTCCCCGGGAGGTCTGGGCGGTGCCCGGCACCCCGTGGCATGACATCCTGTTCCTCAAGCCATCCTCCCATCTCGTCTCCGTGGCCCAGTGGGCAGCGTGGGCGGCCAGTAACCCCACAATGAATGAAATTAAATCCACCTGCCATCTATACTATCTACTATCTATCTACCTTGACCGAGTGGTTGTGCACCCGCTTCTCCTTCTTCGCCACCTTCATTTCGCCCTACTCCTTCTCCTGGGTCATCTTCTCCTTCTGCTCTCATATCTGCTTCCATTTCTTGTTGAGTGAAGTCTAATCAGTGTACCTGACCTGACTGGGTTTGGCGAAGTGCAGTGAGTATTGTAGGTGTAGACTGTTTTGGAATCGCAAAACACACTCCCCAAACTCCCCTTCCCCTGGCCCAGCGTCAGCCAGCGCCTTGCCTGCAGTCGGCGGTGGCTGCCCGGCTCGGTCAGACGGCTGCGGCTGGACCGACAATCGAGCCGGCGTTCGGCAGCGCATAGTGTTGTCTCACTCCCACACCGCCTGTCAGCCGATCACGGCTGCTGGGCAGCCGCCTCAGTCAGCCGAGCGGTCCGAAAGTCCGAATATAGTTACCTCCCGCTTGGACTTTGGGGCAAGGAAAGAACAGGAAAAAAGAATTTAAAAAAAAATAAAATCATATGTGATAGACGTAATTTCATAAAACCAACGTTATTTTCCAAATTAATTAAGTTAAAGATGGTCAAAATACCTTCTTCGATTCGACTGTGTGAGCCACGTCCTTCGCGAAAAAGTCCTTGGACTCCTGGGCGTCAGCCACTTTGCCCTGAGCAAGTGATAATAGCTTGGACTGTAGGGCAAGGAAAGAACAGAAAGAACGGATTAAAAAAAAATAACCATATGTGATAGACGTAATTTAATTTCCAAATTTATTGAGTTAAAGATGGTCAAAATGCCTTCTTCGATTCGACCGTGGGAGCCACGTCCTCCGCGAATAAGTCCTCGGACTCCTGGGCGTCTGCCACTTTGCCCTGAATAAGTGAAAATGGAGATTTTTTTTTAAATGTACACAAATATAATCTGCAAAGTTATGGTGGCACAACTTGACGCACCTCTGTTTCGGATCCACTCTCCTCCTCCTCCGAGCTGGCCTCTGATTCCGCGGCGGGAATGAGGTCTTCATAGGACTAGCTCGAATCGCTGTCGGGATGCTCCAACGATTTTTGGCGGCCAAGGCCCTTAGGCCCGTCGTCGTCGGAATCTGTGTAATACCTCTAACTCTGTGGCAGCAGCCAGCCCCTCCGATAGCAACCGACCCCAATAATCAGCACTGTAGATCAGGAGGGAGGGGGAAGGGTTGTGACGTCATCTCGCGGGTGCATAATACAACAATTGTTAATTTAATTCTAGTGCAAAAGATTACCTTTGACTGCCAAAAACAGTTCTAGAGGTAAGGGAGAGCGGGGTACCATGATCCCTTTTTTGTTTTAGGCCTACTCTCCCCTATAGTGGTAGATGGCAGCTGGATCATGGGCTCAGGTGGGAGGTATGTCTCTTAGATACAAAATGCTTAGGAAATAATATCTCTCAATCAAACCATTTCTGAGCTGGGGATAAAATATTGGGACCCTGCATTATGTTCATGGTACCCCACCTATGGGGTACGATGATCAGTAGGTGGGGTACGATGATCATGCATATTTGTGTCCTAGATAGACACCCAAAAAATCCGAAAAAAAATCTTTGAAACTCAGCGAAGGGATTTATGACAATGTCATTGCCAGGGAATCCTGTGGGAAGCGGCCCTTTTCTAGACAGCGCCTAGGAAACGTGTGACCCCACAGCCGCTAGCGTCAAAACCTAATTTTGTTAAAATCAAAATCTGGTTAATGATTTGGATTCAGCTCGTCGAAAGAAAACGAAAGTGTCTTACACGCCGAGACGATCGGAGGCAAAATGCCAGTTATTGACGTTCAAAGTGACAATAAGTGCCAAAAATGACCTACCCCTATAAAAATGAAACGAGTGCGGTGGGAGTGCGTGGCGAGTGCGAGTCGAGTGCGAGTCGAGTGCGGCAGCGAGTGCGAGGCGAGTGCGAGTCGAGTGCGAGGTGAGTGCGAGGCGAGTGCGTCGCGAGTGCGCCGCGAGTGCGTCGCGGGTGCGGTGCGGTCGGCAGTCGGTAGCAAGGAAAAGACGGTGGCGGGGGGAGGGAGGGACAGCATCGGGGAATGTCCGGGAATGCCCGCCTGTTTTGCCTAATCGCCATCGCTCCTCCGCGCCTGCGAGACTCAGGGTAGGCCACCCCTCAGTACACGCATGCACTTCAGGCAAAATGTTGCCTACTTGTCAGGCGCCATGGGAGCTTGCATACGCAACGGCGAATGAAGGACATACTTTCTGGATGATTCCCAGTCGCAAGTCGCAAGTCGGAAATCGGAAACCACGAGTCGCAAGTCGGAAATCGCTGACTGGATAACTTCCAGTTTAAACGTACGACACGATCGCGGTGCCGGCGGTGCCTCTGCGCGCGCAGGTGAGATCACGTGACGTTTTTCGTCATGTATGTTTTGTTTTCGCTTTGCTCAGCACAGCAGACAACCAACGGACAACTAAGCCGACCCGTCTCGACGCAGTACTTATCTTTTTATATATTTTATTATTATAAAACACGTTGATTACACTTCATTGGTCGTCCTGATTCCATTTTCATTTTTGCCAATACGAACGTACTTGATGTGGTCTACCTGGGGTTATCTACGGGTCTCTGACCTATGTTGCTTAGATTACTTTAACCTATACCAAACTTGAGTGAAACGCTACGAATTTCAAGCTGATTGTAGTTTATTTATGACAAACGCTCTACTGACCTCTGGGGAAACAAAACGACTGGCTCCTGAACCATGATTTTGCTGCCTCAGGCTTTGACATGGCATGTGTGAGGACTGGAAACATTAATAATTAATTGTCTTGTGCTTTCAGGTAATCATGCTTGCCCAGATTTGTTTTGGGTGTGCCCATCACTCAAAGACACATTCCACAGGGACAGGATCACAATGCTAGTGAAGAAGACTTAAGATCACGGTCAACAATATCAGCAAATGCAGCTGATCGTCAAAATCAAGAAGTCTCCCTTTGATTGAGAGGTTAGCTACATTTACAATGTTTTGTATCATCATCTATTGTTATTTAAACCAGTGCATTGTTATTCTAAATGTCTCTCCATTGTTTCAGACACCAGAGCTGCAATGCACAAGTACATTGTCACAACGAGTCCAGGAGGACCAAGCGATTCTTTTCCCATACCAGGGTCAGACCAAAGATGATGTTACGTTGCCCTTTTGAAATTTCTAAATCTTGTAGCTCTTGTACAAAGTGAGGTATTTCTAGGTGTTATAAGGTTTCATTTAAAACTCAACATCCGCACCTTGAACAAAATTTGTAAAATACCATACTCGAGATCTTAGTCAAATCTTGATGAGAGCAGCAAGGGATCAGGCAAACGGTAGCTATCAAATAAATTAATTTCTGTTTAATGAATGATAAATTTTTATTGACTAGATTTAATAAGGTAAACTTAACATCACACAGGGACATCTGTTGTTAAAGAGTTGAAAAATAATTACACAATACCACAGATATGTACCTTAATAGTTGACAAAAAATAAATCTGGAATTAAAGGTTGTATTTAAACTGTTTATGTGTGTACAATCAACAATTCAGTAATGTAAACAAAATTATCACTTCTCAATTCATTTTCCTTTTAACATATGAGGTAAAATTGAGTGTAAATAACAAAATATCACAAAAGAATGTATTCTTATAGAAAACTAAAATTTCATTATGAATTTAAAACTATCACAGTTCTAGGATGTAGCAATTCTTTTTGTATGTCAATCACATTGAAATGCTACTAAAAGGTACCATCAACAATTGTACCTTGTAACTTTCTATTTTCTCTTATCTTAAGTTGTTGACTCTCTGCCTTTACGTTTCTTTATTGGGATTCCATTTTTGATCTTTTCCTCGCGAGCTTCTGCTTCCTTGCGCCTGTTCCTTTTCTTAAGTCTGCACGCATCGTAAATGTAGAGTCTTATTGAAGCATCATCCTCTTTATGCTCTAGCGGGAGTCTCACGTTAAGAAATGCTTAAAAAAATAAATAACAAAAAGGTTCAGTGTAGTTGGCCTGTCAAATACCTGCTGGTATAGCACATTTTTTTATTTTTCTCTTGATCAAGAAACTGTGAGGGGTGAAGAATACAAATTATTACTTACTTCTGAATGCCTCAAAGAAATCTGGGGGGATGTTTGTTTTTTGTACATTTTTTCTGAAAGGCTCTGGTAGAAGCTTCTTTATGAGAAATGTGACCATCTGCCGAGGGTTTAAACTATTTCCTATTTTCTGTCCCTTCGTTGGATGAAGCAAGGGTAGGCAGCAGTACTCTGATCTCATGATGTAGAGCTTTGTATTAGGCGCAAAGTTGTACTGCAAAATTAGAAGGTAAGATAAGGCATGACTAGCAAAGAATCAAATGACAATTGCTGTGTTGCTCCTTTTAAACTTGCCTTTTCATCTGGACCACCAGGTTGAAAGCATTCCAGCTGATTAACATCAAACGCCCACTCAGTATTGGCTATTGTTGATTCTGTCACAAATAATTAATGGAAAGTAATTAGCTGGTATATTATAAAACATGTTCATAAAACTACAATGAAGATTGCAATTGAAAACAAACATATTACCAGCAGTATCTGCTTCCAGCTGCACATGATGAGCACCTATAAAAATTAAAAGGAAATCGATTTAATAAATATTCTGATTCAGACTAAAGAGTTTGTGCCCATGAGTTTAACTTGGAAATTACTTGGTGTGGGTGGTTGAAACGAAGTCTGACCTGGTAGTTGACCATGATCAGGCTCTGATACTTGTAAAGCATGTGGCCTTTCATACTGGTCAAGACCCCCTGGGTTTGATTCACCTGTATTTGAGTCTTTGAGAATTTTAACATCATAGGTATGTCACAAATATCTTATGAACTTTTTAAAGTAGTGGGTTTGACAGAAAGGATGTTGCAATCCTTATACTTTCCTTGTTTACTAACTTAGAGAAAGAGATCTTACCTGGAACAACCAACTCACTCTGGCTCCGATAGTTTCCAGCATCAGACAATATTTTTTCTGAGTGTTCGTTTGATTCGAAAATGTTTGAGACTCGCTCTGTGTTACCTGAAAGAAATTGGTTATCAATCCATCAATTTAGTTAGACTTATTTTCACACTCAGAAGTGTAGTAAAAGCAGATATTACTTTCATTTAAAAGAGCCAAAGGAGAAGGAGATCTTGGAATAGCCGACTCATCAGTGGTTCCTTTGTCAGATAATATTTCTTCTGAGTTTTCTTTGTTTATTTCTGGACTGTTTGTGCCTTGTTCTGTAGTTGTCAAAGAAATTAGTTATCAATCCAATAATTTTTAGTTAGGCTTATTTTCATTCTAGCCAAGTGTCAGTTCCCATAGAAAAGTAATAAAAGCAGAAATTACCTTGATTTAAAACAGCCAAAGAAACAAGTATTCCGTTTAAAGGTGAAAACGATGATCCCCTATTTAGTGGCACTTTGTCTGATGTTTCACTCGGACCTAAATAACACTTAATACAAATAATATGCGGCTTCCACTTCAATATTTTTTTTGAACACATTTTGTATCAGCAAATCTAGTCCCAGATGGAATCAGGGCACCTAAGTAAAAATAATTATAATGAAAAAAATAAAAATAACATGACTCAGCAGAAATTACCTGGAGAAACACTTTCAGTCGGATAATCAAAGCTTTCTAAAGATTTAGCAGCAGGCGGAAGCAGGTTGCAGCTATTAGCTGATTGATTTTGAGCAGAGACATTAATTTGAGAAAAGTCAGGTGGCAGGTAGTGGCTATTAGCTGATGGATTTTGAGAGGCATTACAAGAACTAAAATCAGGCGGCAAGTAGTTGCTGCTAGCTGATAGATTCGGAAAATAATTAGAACCCGACTGACGTGCTGCTGTGGATGTGGTGAGATTAGGCACTACTGACTCTGACTCTGTTCTGTCAGATGTACCAGATGGTACGCTCATTAATGATTGATCTTAACATAAATAAATTTTAAAAATTAGAACCACAAGAAAGTAGATTCTACTCATTTTCACTTGTTTAGAAATACTATACCTATTGTTCTCTCCTTCATGAAAACATGGCCCCCAGAAACCACATTCTCAATTGTCTGTAAATTTTCCCTCTTTCTCTCTTCTACACTTTTTGGATTTTCTCTCTTCTCTCTTTTTTTTGCGAGGTATTCTTCAGCATTGCAATTGGGATCTATCAGGCCAGTCTTCAATAATCTTATGCAATACAACATGTCAATATCTCCTGCAATAAATAACGAACTGTTAAATAAAAACTTAATTTGGAAAATCAGAAAGAATATTTACTTTAAACGAAATTTCACAGAATAATTATATGGAACAATACTTACTTCCAAAGTCAATTACAAAGCACTCATGCTTGCTTTTGTCATCTGAAGAAACCCAATCAATTGGATTTGGCACTTTGCATGAAGTGCCGACTGATCTTGATTTTTTAGGTATGGATTTTGTGCAAACAACACCTTTTGTTTTATCAGTGTATAAAACCAATGTGTACGGAAAATCAATTTCTATCTGGTCTGCTGCTGATTTAGGAGTCGTTGTGGCTCTGCTGGTCTTGCGGCGTGCAGCAGCTGGACCCATGATGCATATGAAAGTAATCCTACCTCTGGAGGTAAATTATCAAAACAAAGATCATCTAACCCTCATTTTAACAGTTACAACTAGAGGAGACTAGGGTACTTGGGAATTTAAGAGATTACCCTCATGCTTACCTATACAGGTTTTCAATGTCAAAGAACAGTCCCTTCAAAATGCAACAATAATTTTTTTTGATAGCTTAAAGTAGTTACAAAAGTCAGTCAATTGTAAATCAAATACAGTTAAGTCTTTAGAAAGAAACTTCGAACCATCCACCCGCCTTTTCTCGAGATCCGCCACAAGGTATCAACGGCTACCATAATTTGAATACTTCAGCGGCAGCGACAGGAAGGCGAACCTCACTAACAACATTCGAGCAATATATCCATGATAGTACCATGGGGTTATTTCACTGCTAAAATGATAGATTGATGACAAAAGAAAAGATTTTAAAGAAACAAAATTTCTGTGCTTGAGGATATTGAAACAACAATGGTTTAATTCAAAAAAAGTTTAATTTTAAAGAAAGTTTAAAGTAATTTTTGGGGGGGTTTGGTTGGCTGCACTGCCTGCTCAGATATTTAAAGCAATGGATGGACACATGTCCTGCATAGGTTAAGAAGTTTAATAATAAGAAGTTCTCAAAAAGGAGATTTGGTTTGAAAGACACACAATGTCTTCAACTAACAATGATTAAGAAGATGGAAGGGAGAAAGGTAAATTTGCATAACTAGACTCCTCCTAATTTCAAAGCTTGACTTGTTTGCCTCTCCCCCATTGCATATCCACTCATTTAGATTGCACAAAAAATAATTGTTGTTAATTAACTCTCAACAGGTGTCAATGAGAATTATCTCACCTATCCATCTATGGCACCTTTACAGAATAATCCAGGTCTTGAGTTTCTATCATTCCCTTCCTCATCTCAACTGCCTGTGCAGCATCTTGAGACAGGCTTCAGTCAAGGTAAAAATATAATTTTGTTCATACAAAAATTTTACTAAAATTATTTTTCTGCTATTTTCAATTTTATCTGAAACATTTGTGGTTTATTTTGTCCAGGTGCAAGTGATAATTATCTCACCTATCCAACACTCCCACCTCCACTTATTCAGAATACCGCTGGTCACCAATTTCAATCATTCCCTTCGTCCCCTTGTCAACTTGAGGCACACTACAGTCTAGGTAAGAATACAATTTTGTATCTTGATAATTTTTTCCTAGGAAACATTTATTTTAATTATCATTTAATAGCTCCAGGTGCTAATGAGATTAATCAAGCTAATCTGTCTTCACAAACACCTCTCATAAGATTAAATGAAATTGTAAAGTGTGATGCTGATATTTTAGTGAGTTTTTGTTATTGACTACAGGTGCTGGTGGGAATCATCAGACCTTTCCATCTCTGCCCTCTCCTCCTCCTTTCCAGAACGTCAATACAGCTTCGTTTCAAGGTACTTAAAGTTGGAGTCTTTGTCGTACAATTAGTTGTTTTTTTACGCATTACCTAATTTTATTATTTTCTATCTTTAGATTTAGATGATCAGTTTCTAAAGTATTCATCCCCACCACCTCCATTATTATCTTCAAATATTTTGACTTCTCAAGGTATATTTTTTATTTTATTTTTTCAAGTTCAATCAATGCAAGTGATAGCAGTGTTTCCTACTATCTTGGCCAACAATCACCTGGACAGATACAAATAATTTATTTTTATAGCACCTGTGTTACCATCCACTAATGTCCTATATTTGATTCATATTTCACAGGCAAAACAGCAGGGCCTTTTGATCCATTACAACAGTCATATTTCTCAGGCAATTCAGGGCCTTTTGATCCAATGCAACAAATGCCTCCTATGCAGAATCCTGAATTACAACCAGGTAAAACTATTGTGATTCACCAAAGTGTGTGGGAATTTAACTCATATTTAACTAATCCTTTTTTTTTGCATATCAGGTATACAGCCATCATCAGAAAATGCAAATCTTTCTTTGCCTTATTTTCCATCAGGCATTTTTCCAATTGATTTTCCTGGTGAGCTAAGATTTGATGACAACACAACGCCTGACTATTTGAACTGGGACACGACAGATGAGAATGTAGATCAAATGGAAGCATTGTTAGAGGAAGAATTAGCATTCGAAAATTCTATTTACAGCAAACCGGTATACAATGGAGCCCCACTAACTCTCCATGAGTCCTTAGTTTCAATACTCAGTGTGGCCTTAAAATATTCTCTTTCTGGACAATTGATTAATTCCATCTTAGGTCTTATTGACCTCCACCTTCCTAGAGAAGATAACATCTTCAAAAAATCATTGTACCTGTTTAAAAAGTACTTTTCAGAGATAAGAGGCTACTCGAGTTATACTTATTACTGTTCCAAATGTCTGGAAAAATGTGATAAATCTAGAGGCTGCCTTTCATGTGAGAAAAAGACACCTCTATGTTGTTTGATACTCCTCTCTGTGGTGGACCAGTTAAAAGCCTTAATGGCAAGAAAAGGGTTTTATTCCAAACTGGTTCCTTTACGTTCAAGATTTAACACATCAGGCTATGCTGACATTTATGATGGTGAGCTTTACAAAGATTATGTGAAAAACAATTACATTGGAGAACTCCCTAGCCTGTCTTGTGAGTGGTACACTGATGGTGCAGAAATGTTCAAATCTGCTCACATCAGTGTTTGGAACCTCTTCTTGTCCATCAATGAGCT